TTTTGGGGATTTTTTGGGATTTTTTGGGATTTTTTGGGAATTTTTTTGGATTTTTTGGGATTTTTTGGGGATTTTTTGGGGATTTTTTGGGATTTTTTTGGGATTTTTTGGGGAATTTTTTGGGGATTTTTGAGGATTTTTCAGGAATTTTTAGGGATTTTTTGGGGTTTTTTTGGGATTTTTCGGGGAGTTTTGGGGAATTTTTGTGGATTTTTTGGGATTTTTTGGGACTTTTTTGGATTTTTTAGGAATTTTTTAGGGAAATTTTTGGGATTTTTTGGGGGATTTTTTGGTGGGGTTTTTTTTGGTTTTTTGGGATTTTTTGGGGATTTTTCAGGAATTTTTTTGGATTTTTTGGGTAATTTTTTGGGGAGTTTTTGGGGATTTTCGAGAATTTTTTGGGAATTTTTGGGGATTTTTGGGGGATTTTTTGGTGGTTTTTTTTGGATTTTGGGGGGATTTTTTAGGATTTTTTTTGGATTTTTCGGGTAATTTTTGGGGAATTTTTGGGGATTTTTGAGGATTTCTTGGGAATTTTTAGGGATTTTTGGGGGACTTTTTTGGGATTTTTTGGGGATTTTTTGAGGATTTTTTTGAGGTTTTTTGCATTTTTTTAAAATTTTTTAGGGAAATTTTTGGGGGTTTTTTTTGGAATTTTTGGGGGATTTTTTTGAGAATTTTTTTTGGGATTTTTAAGGATTTTTTGTAATTTTTAGGGATTTTTTGGGAATTTTTGGGGGTTTTTTTGGCATCTTTTTGGAATTTTTTTTAGAACTTTTTTATTTTATTTTTTTTCCATTTCTTAGGAACATTTTTCAGGATTTGCCTCATTTTTGTGGGAAACTTTTAATTTTTGGGTGAACATTTTCCATTTTTCTGGAACTTTTTTTTAGGCTTTTCATCATTTTTAAAGGACAATTTTTTCATTTTTGGGTGAATATTTTCCATTTTTTAGAAATTTTTTTTAGGATTTTCTTCATTTTTTAGGAGAATTTTTTTTTTTCTTTTTTGGGGTTAATACTTTCCATTTTTAGGGATTTTTTTTACTATTTCCATCATTTTTTAGAAGAAATTTTTTATTTTGTGGTTCAATATTTTCCTTTTTTTTTGGCTATTCATCATTTTCCAGCTGGAATATTTTGATTTTTGGGTAAATATTTCCCTTTTTTTTTTGCAAACTTCGAGACTTGTTACCAACTAGAAATTTTTTTATTTTTTCAAATTTATTTCCTATTTCGAATTTCCCATTTTTTTCCCTTTTTCCCATTTTTTTTAGGGATTTTTTTAGGGAATTTTTACCGTAACAAAAATTGCATTTCATGGAATCCGTCCGGACCATTCCCAGCATGGGCAGCAAAGTCCCCAGGATGGAATTCAGGAATGGAACCATCCCAAAAACTGAGGGGAAAAAAAATTTAAAAAAAAATTAAAAAAGGGAAAAAAAAATCACGGACATGGAAAAAAAAAAAAAACCAAAAAAATTCCTGATGGAATTCCGGCCCCAAATCCCAAAATTCCAAACCCAAATCCCAAAATTCCAGGCTCAAATCGGAAAATTTCAACCCCAAATCCCAAAATTTCAACCCCAAAATGCCAAAATTTCAGGCTCAAATTCCAAAATCCCAAAATCCCAAATCCAGCCCCAAATCCTAAATCCCAAAATCCCCAAATTCCAGCCCCCAAATCCCAAAATTTCAACCCCAAGTCCTAAATCCATCCCCAAATCCCAAAATTCCAGGCTCAAATCCTAAAGCCAATCCCAAATCCCAAAATCCCAAATCCAGCCCCCAAATCCCAAATCCCAAAATTCCAGCCCAAAATCCCAAAATTTTGACCCCAAATCCATCCCCAAATCCCCAAATCCCAATTCCAGCCCCAAATCCAGAATTT